GGGGCGTCTGTGAGCACACACACACACACACACACACACACACACACACACACACACACACACACACACACACACACACTGAAGGAGGCCACATGCTGCTGGGGAGGAAAATGTTGGTAAATTGTAAATTAGGTTATAAATCATTCTTAAAATTAAAAATAGGTGCACTCATGTCTATAGATATTATTATATATGGATTGAACAACTGGTTTAATTGATTGTCCAAAAATTAATCTGCATCAGTTTTGATAATTAATTAACAATTTAGCAAATTTTTATAAGCAAAAACACTAAATTCAAAGGCTCCAGCCTGTCAAATGTGAAATCTTTGCTGTTGATCACTGTTCTTATAACAGTAAAGTGAATATCATTGGGGCTGGGACCTTTTGGTGAACAAAGCTCAGGTCAGCTTGAGCTCTGGGAGAGTGCGATGGGCATTTTTTTCACAGATTTCTGTCATTTTATAGACCGGACAATTACTCACTAATGAAAATAATTGTACACAATTGTGGTTAGCGCTGTCACCTCACAGCAAGACTGTTCCAGTGCCTTTCTGTGTGGAGTCTGCATGTTCTCCCTGTGTGGGTTCTCTCTGGGTACTCCAACTTCCTCCCACAGTCCAAAGACATGCAGCTTAGGTTGACTGGCGACTCTAAATTGGCTGTAGGAGTGAGTGTGGGTGTGTGTGGCTGTTTGTCTACAAGTCCGCCCTGTGACAGATTGGCATCCTGTCCAGGGCGGACCCCACCTCTCACCCAGTGTCAGCTGGGATTGGCTCCAGCCAGGAGCAAGTGGTATAGATCATGGATAGATGGATGAAAATAATTGTTTATTGCAGCCCTAAATAATGTTGCTCCAAATGAGTAATCTGTACCCTCAAAATATCATTTCGCCTTTAATTTGAAGGAACTACTTACTAATTAGATTTCCCCAAATCTTAACAAGCTACACCTGAGTTATATACAGAGGCTGGAGGCCCAGCTGACACTCGGCGCGAGGCGGGGGGCCCCCCCGGACGGGCGCCTATGACAGGAGTGACATGTAGACAAACAACCACACACAATATATACATGTATATATGTGTGGATGTATAAAATCACTGAAACTCTTCTTAACAATAAGATTAATCTAATTTCCTGTGTGTGTGATAATGCATGACCACAATGATTCATCTTCACCAGACTGAACATGGACGAGGCAGACGTCTGGTATCCTGAGTCGTACATGATGAACTCCGCTGATGAGACTCGACTGCTGGCCATCGCTGACAACTTCCAGCGTCAGTATTCATTCCTGTATCCAGACCGCAAGCCGCTGCTGTTCTGCCCTGTCAATGAATGTGGTGTGAAGGTAACATTAAAGCTTGTTTCTCTCTCCAGAAAAAGATTCCATGTATTTATGGCTAATACTTGTGTATATTTTTCTAATATTTAGAAATTTGTGTCAACAACTATTCGGCCCACATCGACAAGCTTCTCGGAACTTTTCAGCTGGGAGGGTTGTGCCTCCTTCGTGGCTGACTTCCTGTCTCTGGAGCCTCTGGAGCCGCCCACTAACCTGGTTAGAACAGCAACACCAAAGCAGAGATCATCATTTCTTCCAATTATTTCAATAGCAGTTGGAATGAGAAGCCACAGTTTTAGCATCCAAGGAATGCAGCCCAGCCCGTAATACTCGTATTCGCATACACAAATCCCATCATTTCAGTAAGTGAGTGATAGTGATGGTTCATGTATTGCTGTCCCAGCCCAGGTTCCTGTTCTCCTCCACCTCAGTGCTGCAGAGTCAGAGAGCCACATGTTTTGAATTTGCCACCCTGCTGTGCAGCCTGCTGCTCGGCGCCCACTACGACGCGTACTGTGTCAGCGGCTACGCAGTCAAAGAGATGTGTCTGCTCGACCAGAGCCTGCAGGAGTGCCCCCTGCTGGACACTGAGGTCACAGTAAATGCTGCTCTGTGTGTTACTGCATAGCCACTGTACACATGAAGTGCTCTGAACACATGGGTTCATTCATTATTGACTCACAAACATGAATGTGACTGGTTGTGTATGTGTGTGTGTGTGCACACTTTGTGTTTGTATGTGCAGAGTGTGATGTCAGAGCAGAAGGAACAGGAGAATAAATACTCAGTGAAACCCCAGAAGGAGCTGAAGAGTCACTCTGTGATGCAGGAGGAGAAGAAGAAACAGGATGCCGAAGTAGCATCACTGCAGAAACAGAAACTTCAGGAGGTAACAACAGTGTTTCACTGTAACAGCGACACAGTGCCACAGCTGCAGCTGTTGGAACAACACAGAAGGGTCTGACTGATGACAGTAACAAAAGGTAGCTCGTGAGAGGCTGGGGCTCAAACTCACAGTACCTTCATATGTAATAAAAACCAGTGTCTTAGCTACAGTGCCTTGCGAAAGTATTCGGCCCCCTTGAACTTTGCGACCTTTTGCCACATTTCAGGCTTCAAACATAAAGATATAAAACTGTAATTTTTTGTGAAGAATCAACAACAAGTGGGACACAATCATGAAGTGGAACGAAATTTATTGGATATTTCAAACGTTTTTAACAAATAAAAAACTGAAAAATTGGGCGTGCAAAATTATTCAGCCCCCTTAAGTTAATACTTTGTAGCGCCACCTTTTGCTGCGATTACAGCTGTAAGTCACTTGGGGTATGTCTCTATCAGTTTTGCACATCAAGAGACTGAAATTTTTGCCCATTCCGCCTTGCAAAACAGCTCGAGCTCAGTGAGGTTGGATAGAGAGCGTTTGTGAACAGCAGTTTTCAGTTCTTTCCACAGATTCACGATTGGATTCAGGTCTGGACTTTGACTTGGCCATTCTAACACCTGGATATGTTTATTTGTGAACCATTCCATTGTAGAATTTGCTTTATGTTTTGGATCATTGTCTTGTTGGAAGACAAATCTCCGTCCCAGTCTCAGGTCTTTTGCAGACTCCATCAGGTTTCCTTCCAGAATGGTCCTGTATTTGGCTCCATCCATCTTCCCATCAATTTTAACCATCTTCCCGGTCCCTGCTGAAGAAAAGCAGGCCCAAACCAGGATGCTGCCACCACCATGTTTGACAGTGGGGATGGTGTGTTCAGGGTGATCAGCTGTGTTTCTTTTACGCCAAACATAACGTTTTGCATTGTTGCCAAAAAGTTCGATTTTGGTTTCATCTGACCAGAGCACCTTCTTCCACATGTTTGGTGTGTCTCCCAGGTGGCTTGTGGCAAACTTTAAACGACACTTTTTATGGATATCTTTAAGAAATGGCTTTCTTCTTGCCACTCTTCCATAAAGGCCAGATTTGTGCAGTATACGACTGATTGTTGTCCTATGGACAGAGTCTCCCACCTCAGCTGTAGATCTCTGCAGTTCATCCAGAGTGATCATGGGCCTCTTGGCTGCATCTCTGATCAGTCTTCTCCTTGTATGAGCTGAAAGTTTAGAGGGACGGCCAGGTCTTGGTAGATTTGCAGTGGTCTGATACTCCTTCCATTTCAATATTATCGCTTGCACAGTGCTCCTTGGGATGTTTAAAGCTTGGGAAATCTTTTTGTATCCAAATCCGGCTTTAAACTTCTCCACAACAGTATCTCGGACCTGCCTGGTGTGTTCCTTGTTCTTCATGATGCTCTCTGCGCTTTAAACAGACCTCTGAGACTATCACAGTGCAGGTGCATTTATACGGAGACTTGATTACACACAGGTGGATTCTATTTATCATCATTAGTCATTTAGGTCAACATTGGATCATTCAGAGATCCTCACTGAACTTCTGGAGAGAGTTTGCTGCACTGAAAGTAAAGGGGCTGAATAATTTTGCACGCCCAATTATTCAGTTTTTTATTTGTTAAAAAAGTTTGAAATATCCAATAAATTTCATTCCACTTCATGATTGTGTCCCATGGCCACATGAGAGACAGCATGAGTAGCTTCTTATTTCACCTAGATATTAAAGCCTTCTCTACTCCTGTCCCTCCTTTCACCTTTGACCTCTTTGTCCCCATCCTGAACAGGACAGTAGGCAGCCTCCTGGTGACGCCCTGCGAGGGCTGCGGGTGCACTGCTGGGTGCTGGTGTTGTCAGGAAGTCGGTGCATTCAGGAGAACTTCTTCATTGACCCTCTGACCGGCAACAGCTACAGCACCACCAGCAACAACTTCCTGGGCATCGAGAGCGTGTGGAACAATCTGAACTACTATGTCAACATGCAGGACTGCAGGAACGGCTGTACTGTGAGTCCTCACAGCCCCAGATACAGCTTGTGTTAGAGGCAGGAGACGCCTTCTGAAAGTAAGGGTCATCAGGAATAAATAAATAGACTAGAAAATATATGCCTGTTTTCTGTGTGTGTGTGTGTGTGTGTGTGCAGGATATGGTGTTTGACCTAGAAGATTTAGAGATGTGGGAGCCAGTCTTGTACAGTGCCACCACCAGAAAGCAGCTGATTCTTGGTGTCTTGAAAAAGGAGCTTAAGATGATGAGCAAGATTAATGATGACAGTGACGAGGTGTGTATGTGTGCTTGTGTGTGCTTGCACATGTGTGTGTGAATAAACACTCATTGGCAAGTTTATTAAGGCAGGAACATCTAGTTGAGACTAAGCCAGTCTAACCCAACAGTGCTGCAGTGAACCCTCCCTCACAGAGGTGATGATGTTCAGTTGGCTCACCTGTGTGGTCAGTGTGCAGGCTGGAGTCTGTGCTGCTCTTCAGCTGTGCTCCATTACACTAGTCTGTACATTAGATCTGTTGCCAATAAAACAAATCAGAATAACCATTTTCCAGATTTTTTACTTAATCTCTCCTTGTAAAAATGTCTTTAACTGGCTCATTTAAAAATTGCAGATAAAGAAGCTGGATGTTAATGACCTGTACCTGTCTGTACTCCATCTTGTAGGATTACTTCAGCCTGTTTTTTTGGGATAGCTTAGTCATAATGCTAAGAATATTCCTGGTGACAGAGCATCAGCACAGTGCTGTTCAGCCCAGAAAACAAAGAACAAGAATGGAGGCTGATGAAAACACCAAATATATCCATTACAAAACATCAAATTAAGCCATTCTAGGGGTGAAGAACTAATTAAACATTGAAACATATTTTAACCATTTAACTGTGAACTCAACATTGTGTTGTTGTTTGTTTGGAAGGAGGATGAGGAGCCCTGTGCGGTTGAGATGCCGAGATCCTGGGTCAGTTACATCACTATCTCAAAAAAAGGTACAGTAACTGAGCAGCATGTATCTGATGGTACAGTGTGCTGATACAGTACGTTAGTTAGTGTTTATCTGTCCATATCCGTATAAATCAGCACCAGAGCACAAAAAACTGACAAAACACGAAAGCATCAAGACACAAACCGAAAACATCTTACATGTAATGCAATGCAGCATCTGAGCGCGTGTCAAATAAGTGCATGCAGCAGAGTAAAAATATATGAACACAGATCAGAACATTTTCAGCCCTACTGTAGTTTCCCTCTAACACCTTTTCACACCCAACACACCTTATACTGAAAATCCTCCACAAACTTTCTCTCCTTTATTCAGATCTGGAGAACCGCTGGCCAGGACAACAGAAGGTGACCCGCTACAGACAGGCAAAGCTGGAGAGGTTTGCAGCGTACCTAAGAGCAGACGGCGTGGTCGCACGACTGACTACCTACAAAGACCTGGACTGTGAGTGTTTAAGAGAAACTGTGACTGTGTTTTTTTCTCTCATTGTGTGGAGAAGAAATACAAGGAGGCAAGTGGCTGTTTGGATAGTTCTACCAAGCTCCCTACAGATCCAAAAAGTCTTAAATTGTTTTTAGTGTGGTCAAACATCTTTTAATTTAGGAGTATGTCATGTGAATTTCTTTGTATATAATGTGTGTGTGTGTGTGTTGAAGGCACTGATATCGCCATGATCAAAGAATGGTATCAGCACAGAAACGACTTCCTGAAGGAGAGGGAGGTCAACAAGGTCGACAACTTCACCACAGAGCGCTTCAGACATGGAAGACCTTTCAACCTTTTATGTAAATCTGCTTTCTGCTGCTGTCCAGTTCAAAGCTCACATCGCCACAGACACACTAACTCCTGGCTCAGATCTGTAGCCTGACTGTGTCCAGAAACATTAGGAAACACTGAAAATCAGAGCTGCTCATCCAGACCACATGAGCAGGAGGGCAGCGGTCACTTCATCACAGTCCCAGGAAAATGTGAATGTGGCCCAGGTCATTGTGTGTAGGATAAAGTCTCTATGCAGCTCTTCATCCATCCTCCTCACCTGGGAATATTTGGCAAACATGGCAGTGCCCCAGTTCCATACGTCTTACTTATAATCCTGTAGAGATTTTGTAGTTGCAGTTCATGGTGGAACAGTAAAAAATTTAATATACACAAAAAGTCAGTATTCATGCTAAAAAACTGCATGTGGGTGATCTTGGAAAACGAATGGTGTTAGTACAAGAAGCAAGTGTTGAGTCTTTAAAAAACATTTACTGGGCAGCGGTTTTCCAAGTTTGGAGTTTGTTGTCCACTGTGTATGAAATCATTTCCTGTGACCAGCTGACCTGTAAACAGCTGCTTTCTTTTTAAAACACTGTTTACGTTAGTTCTCTGAGTGATGGTCTGTTGTGCACAGTCCACAGGTTCACATCCTCAACCTCAAACACTGTGCATGAGATGGAGTTCAGCAGTGCTCATATGGACAATCTGATGCGGAGGGTGGAGTCGCCGGGTGAAATGATAGAGCTCTTTGAGGGCCGAAGCGACTTCCTTAACTACCGGCACTCCATCTTTGATCAACACAAGCCGCTTTCACGGTTAGATTATCTTCTAAACAACCACCACATACAGGTGAGACGTTTACACACCGGGGCAGTTTTAGCATCAAATGAACAGTGATGTTTTAAATGTTATAAACATAAGCTCAGGACAGTTAGTCATGTTGGGTTGGTGGCCGTGCACCACATAGTTGGCACGTTGATCATCCACTGAAGACACAAATCTTTAAAAATGCCTCACAAATATATAGTTTCCTAAAACAGCTCCTGTCTGTTCACAACAAGCAACAGTACAATGCTGAGAATGGAAAAGTTCTTTATGTGCAAATGTTGGAAGCGATTGTGACCGTTGTGAAGCCTGGAGCTCCTGAGCTGAGGAGGCCTCACTCAGCAGGTCAGCTGGGTCGCCTTCGGTTCTGAGTCATGTTTAAGCCTGTGGACCCAGAAAGGTTCCACCCATCGCTGCAGGTTGTCCACCGTGTATGAAAACCCACCCCTATGTTAAATAATCAAGAGCATCACAGTGTAAGGCTTTAAATGTCAACAGTGTGATGATGAAGTCTGTTGTAAACCTAGTGGATTCAGTTCAGTCCTGATTAGGAGCGAGGAGATCTGATGAGGATTGCTGCTGTTGTTTATGTCCGACCTGGCCGATTTTCTTTATCCTCTACTCAGGTGTGCCTTAAATCTGACCTCCACTGAATTTTTTTTTTAACCTAGACAGGAGACTTGTGTGCATGTGTATTTGTGTGTGCGTGCAAACAGAAAGTGGTGGAGCGTTTCCACAGGAACAAATCCAAACCAGCCAATGAAGACGTGGCAGAGCGAGTGTTCCTGCTGTCTCAGAGGCGGATCGAGGTGACCTATCACGTAGAGGAGCACGGCTTTATCCCTTCAAAAAGAAACTTCATCAAACCACAGGAGGTGACCTATCACGTAAAGGGGCACGGCTTTTTCCCTTCAAAAACAAACTTCATCAAACCACAGGAGCCAACGGTGCAGGCGAAGGCAAAGAAAAAAAAGGCAAAAAAAGACTTCACGCCTCACATGGTCTCCAGGTTCCAGGTACAGACGGCAAAAGACTTCACGCCTCACATGGTCTCCAGCTTCCAGGTACAGACAGTAGATTTCATAGCCTTTCAATTTAAAAGTCTCTGAGCAGCCTCTGGGATCATACACTCCACTAATGTGTTCAGGTGGATCCATCTGAGAAACCTCTTGGTACCCTGACTCTGCATTGGATGCTGGGGGCCCTGATGGAGGATGAGGAGAAGGTGGTTCTCCAAATCAAAGTGTCTAAGAAAGAGGTAACGTGTCCTCAGAGTCACCCGGAGTAACAGTTTAGCTGCTCTCATCTCATGTGCTCTGCCAAATTGCTCATGCTTCTAAAGATTCCTTGACCATGAAAACCTGCCCCTAGCACTTGGAATCACACTGATATCATTAAAAGTTTGAAACTTACTCAAGAAAAATGATATTTCAGTAATGGCAGTTTTCTTCAGGATCTAGCTCAGTAACTGTTGAAGATATGTCAAATCTGTCGACACCTACTGAGTCAGCAGAGTTTCAGCTAGAATCTGACCTTAGTTGCAAGTCTGTAGCTTCATGTCTCATGGCAGCCAGTTTTCCCTGAGCCCTATAAATGTGAACATTCTGGATCAGGACATCTGGAATATGACTTGGGTCCAGATCAGACTTTGGGGTGTGTTCGATCTTATGTGGACGTTAACGTGCAGTGTTTGTTGTGGAGTTAGAAGCAATAATATTGAAACTGGCCCTATCTCACAAGGCTAAAGGATGCTTTAAAAAATTCCCAGATCCAGATGATGATCTGGATCAGCACCAAAATCTAATGGACCGTTCAGTGGGCTGTACCCTACCTCTCCAGAACATTTCATCCAAATCCATTCATTACGTTTTGAGTTATACTGTGAACAATCCAACAAACAAATGCCAGTAACAACAGGACCTCCTTGGTGGAGGGAATAGACATTCTGTGCATAAATAAAAGTGAAATAGTTGGAAACTGGCTAAAATTAACACAAAAGGAGGTAAAAAGGGACCATTAGAGAAAACATGCACTAAGGAGAAGTTACACAATCAATCACAATCAATCACAATTACATGTCCAGACAACAGGGAAAGGAAGTGCCAGCTTTATTTGTTTTTAGTCTCTACTATAATAATAATCTGTGATAATTATCTTTTATTTTTAAGATTGTGATTAGGATTATTAGTGAGTCCATAATTTCACTAATGGCTGATGGATAAATATGGTCCCTGGAGTCCCAGTTTCAGAAAACAGTGGTTGAACCCAGCCCACAGAGGGTCAGAGTCTGGATGCCAGTAAAGTTAAAACCAGCTCTCTCTGATTGTTCCCTTTAAACACCAGTTTAGCTGAACGCACAGCAGAGTTATTAACCTGGATTTAAGTTGAGTTTGTCAAACATCCAAAACATAACGACTTGGCCCCCGGCCCTCTGTGTCCTTCCTCAGGAGATGTTGGCTCTGATGCAGTTTTCTAGTTTTCTGACTGAAAAGAGACTGAGGGAGAGATTTGGCCACTTTCATGTGGTTCAGGCATTTCACTACGGACAGAGGTCTCTTCTAAAATGACCTGGAAACACTAATGTGGATGCAAACGGTTGAAGTCGACATGTTCTAGTATCTTACTAGGTCTTTTATCCCGCCCTTCCAGCACTTTAAGTCAAACTTCTCCATGTTAGTTTCTAGTAAGGTCCCCTCCCCCTGCAGTTTCAGGAGACATGACCTTATTTTGTCAGTTACTACATATCGCTACTTTTACTTCCATTGGTGATTTGAACACTTCTTCCACCACTTTATGTGTGAGTAGGTGAGAGACATTGTGGCCTGCAGAGAGCAAGAGGAGGGAGATGTTCAGCTTCTCTTCTCCCCGTGGACGACAACAGGAGCTGTCAGGGTGCACAAACAGAGACAGGACATGGTGATGCACACACACTCACACACACTGAAACTATACATGTAATGTGCATGAAATCAGTGAGAAGTCTAGTTTGACACATTATGTCAAGTACAGTTAGCCTAACCACCCACCAACTTACCTTATCTTACCTATTTACCACCTACCTACTTATATCCTCAAATTTCCCTCTGGATCAATAAAGTATCTATCTACCTATCTATCGTACCCATGATGATTTCCTATAAAAAAAAATAAAAATAAAAATTCCCCACTCGCCCCCCACTTCGGGGCGGTCTTTCCTTCCTTCAAGCTTGGGTCCTCTACCAGAGGCCTGGGAGCTTGAGGGTCCTCCCCAGTATCTTAGCTGTTCCTAGGACTGCACTCTTCTGGACAGAGATCTCAGATGTTGTTCCTGGGATCTGTTGGAGCCACTCTCCCAGTTTCCTATTACCACAAGGGCCACTTGTGTCTTCACCTTCCACATTTTTTCTAGCTCTTCTTTCTGCCCTTGGTATTTCTCGAGCTTCTCGTGTCCCTTCTTCCTGATGTTGCTATCGCTTGGGATTGCTAAATCTAACCCTTACGCCTTCTTCTTCTGTTTGTCTGCCACTACTATGTCCGGTTGGTTGGCCATTACCAGTTTGTCAGTTTGTATCTGGAAGTCCCACAGGATCTTAGCTTGGTCATTCTCAACCACCTTTGGAGGTGTATCCCATTTTGACTTTGGGACTTCCAGCCTGTACTCAGCACAGATGTTTCTGTACACTATGCCAGCCACTTGGTTATGGCGTTCCATGTATGCCCTGCCTGCTAGCATCTTGCACCTCACTGTTATGTGTTGGATTGTCTCAGGGGCATATTTGCACAGCCTGCACCTGGGGTCCTGTCTGGTATGGTAGACCCCTGCCTCTATTGATCTTGTACTTAGAGCTTGTTCTTGTGCTGCCATGATTAGT